CTTAGAGCCATGCCTGGCTTCACAGTGTTCAGGCAGGACCCAGGCTGGCCTTGGTGGGCTGAGGCTCTCACTAGCCTCCTGCCTGGCCCCATCTCCTGAGCCCCTTCTCTCATTAAGCTTTGCCTTGTGCCCCACAGAGCTCTGCTAAAGAAGCTTGGGGGGCTTTTCTTGCCCCCAGAGGCCAACCTCACCCTGGACAGCTCTGAGGGGGTCCTTGCAAGGGCTGTGGTCCATGCTGTAAGTGCCCCCAGTGGTACCAGTGGGGTCAGACCAGGGGCTTGTTGCTGCTCTGGCCTTGATACCTGCCTCTCCCAACCCCCTTCCAGGCTATGGAGCAGCTGTTGGTGAGCAGGCAGCCCTTGCTCATATTCCTGGAGGAGCCCCCTGGGGCCCAGGGGCCTCGGCTGTCAGCCCTGGGCCAGACCTGGCTGGGACTGGTGGTCCAGGCTGTCCAGGTGGGTGTCATCCCAGATGCCATGCTAGTGCCAGTGGCTATCACCTATGACCTGGTTCCAGATGCACCCTGTGATGTATACCACGTGAGTCCTGCCCCTGGTGACTCCAAGTGGACACCATCTCTAGAGAAGAGACACATTATTGTGTCCTCTGGCCAGCTCCCCTTAGGGTTAGAGTTAAGGGGAGAGTGCAAAGTTCTACCGCTCCAGTCATCATCCTGTGGCATTTGCCAAGGCCCTTAAACTTACACAGTCATTTCGTCTTCTAAAGACCCAGGTTAGAAAGGGATTTGTCCTGTGTCATGGATGAGAAAATGAGCTTGAAGAAGTCATGGTCATGGACCAGTTTGAGCCCAAGATAAAGCAGAGCAAAAAATAGTGCCCCCAGGCAGTTTGCTCACTCAGCCCCTCCCTCCCTGCAGGCCTTGGTCCCACTGGGGTTGTGGACAGGAGCTCTGGCTGTCCTGCGGAGCCTATGGAGCTGGGGCCGCAGCCCCAGGGTCTGTGTCCGTGTGCACCTAGCCCAGCCCTTCTCCCTACAGGTACGTAGCCTGCTGGACAGGGCTGGGAGTACCTGGGGTCTGTCCTGGGGCTTCTGGTGGCCCCTGCACCCAGTCTCCCTACTGGGTCAGAGCCCCTGCACGGATGGCCTTTTTTACCTCAGGGAGGCTGTGTGTAGGTTTATTGGTGGGCCTGGGCAGGCTATCTAAGAGTCTTGTCCTGGGCAGGAATACACCACCAATGCCAGAAGCTGCTGGGGCAGCAGGCAGACCCTGGAGCAGCTGCTGCAGCCCATCGTGCTGGGCCAATGGTAGGGGCATGGGAGTGTGTGGGTCTTGGGTGCAAGGCAGGCAGCCCTTCAGCCCCAGCCTGTGAGCTGACACCCTCTCCCCCCATACCCACAACATCACCAGTTCCAGCCTTACCTCTCCAGATACCCATGGGTCATATAAACAGAGCCAGCCACCCCACCTTGCCTGTAATCTGAGGGACACGGACCTGGAAAGGGCTAGAATTACATGAACCACCTCTTGCCTTGGGAGTGGGGATGGGGAAACACGCTCCCCTTTGAGAAAGATTTGGGCTTCCCTGCAACTGTTTTGAGGTTTGGTCCCTTAATCCTGTATTCTGTGTCTCTGTCCTAGTAATGTTGTCCCAGACACTGAGAAGGAGCAGGAGTGGACTCCAGCAACTGGGCCCCTTCTGGCACTTAAGGAAGAAGACCAGCTCCTGGTCAGGAGGTTGAGCCGTCATGTCCTGAATGGTGAGGGGGAGCTAGGTCTGGGCCTTTTAGGGGAGACTCCTGAGTAGTCTCCCTACTGGGTCAGCCAGTCTTTGGGGCCCTCCATTCCAAATGGGTTTCTGCACCTGACATCCATTCCTGTATGGCCCACTTGGGACGTGTGAAGAGGACTGGAACCCTCCCTGCTTCTGGGAAGCAGGGCAGCCAGGGAGAATCTGAGGGAGCCACTAGATGAGTACATAGGCTGGCTAAGCTGTGGAGGGTTCACTGCGCAGGGGGCAGACTATAGATGAGCCCCCTGCTGCCAGGGGGGTATGGGAGGAATGTTTTTGACTAGGAAGACTTGCTGGGATGGTGGAGGAACTAGGCCTCTGGCCCTTGGGCCCTGACCAGCATTTCCCACCCCCGGCCCCAGCCAGCGTGACCAGCTCGGCAGTGATGAGCACAGCCATCATGGCGGCACTGCTGCTCTTTAAGCACCAGAAGGTAGGGGACAGGGTGGTAGGGGGCTGGGGAAAGGGTGTGGCTCTCTTCCTCAGCCCCTGTACTGCCCTGCCCCCCAGGGTGTATTCCTGTCTCAGCTCCTGGGGGAGTTCTCTTGGCTGACCGAGGAGACGCTACTGCGTGGCTTTGACGTGGGCTTCTCAGGGCAGCTGCGGTGCCTTGTGCAGCACACGCTGAGCCTACTCCGGGCACATGTGGTCCTGCTGCGTGTCCATCAGGGGGACTTGCTGGTGGTTCCTCGCCCAGGCCCAGGCCTCACACGCCTGGCACGCCTGAGCGCCGAGCTGCTGCCTGTCTTCCTGAGTGAGGCTGTGGGTGGTGAGTCTCCAGGGCTTCGGCTGGGTGGGACATGTGTCGGGGTGAGGTGAATGGCTTCCCTCCTCGTGCCTGGCCCTTTCCTTCCCTAGCCTGTGCTGTTCGGGGGCTGCTGGCGGGCAGAGTGCCGCCTGAGGGGCCCTGGGAGCTACAGGGCATTGAGTTGCTGAGCCAGAATGAGCTGTACCGCCAGATCCTGCTGCTGCTGCACTTGCTGCCCCAGGACCTGCTGCTGCTGCAGGTCCGCTCTCTCCCCCTAGCCCTGCGTGGTCCTGGGCCTCCCCTCTCGGTTGTGGAGATGGGAAGGGACTGGGCAGGCATGGGCCCCTAAGTCGTCCTATGGCAGTAGGTCTCCCTTGCCCTGCTTCTGACCAGGCCCCTGCTCAGTGCCTGATTCTGAGGCCACATGAATGCTTTTTTCCTCAGCCCTGCCAATCTTCCTACTGCTACTGTCAGGAAGTGCTGGACCGTCTCATTCAGTGTGGGCTCCTGGTTGCTGAGGAGGTAGGCAGGGCAGCTAGAGACAAAACCCAGGTCTGGGGCCTAGCCACCTATTCCCACCCTGAGTGACAGCTGCCCCAGCCTGCTCCTGCTGCCCCAACGTGCTGTGGGGGTGGGCGTGCCCCTCGCCTGGCAGACAGGGAGGCCTGGGTGCTGCCTCCACCAGTCTCTGCTTTGGGCTTTATCCCACCGGCCCTATCATGACAGGACTGGACAACTGGACCTCCGAGGTCCTCTGGAGGCCTCCTACCCGCTACAGTTCTTGTCCCACAGAACTATGGCCCTTAAGGGTCAGTGCTCACTTCCTCTCACCCTGCAAGTTGGCTCAGCAGGTGCTGTGGTCTGGGGTGGCCCTGGGTGTCCTCTTGGGCTCCCTAGGTCTGCTTTTACTAGTTTCACCTCCACGTGCCTAGTCTGCCATGTACCTGGTCTAGGGAAGTTGGGGGTTCAGGGCTGAACCTGTCAGGGACCAATGGCTCCCATGGCCCCCAGACCCCAGGCTCCCGGGCAGCCTGTGACACAGGGCGGCAGCGTTTAAGTGCAAAGCTACTGTGGAAACCGAGTGGGGACTTTACTGATAGTGACAGTGATGACTTCGAGGAGGCTGAGGGTCGGTTCTTCAGGGTAAGTTGGGAGAAGCCACGTTGGGGGTGGGGTGGTGGGCAGGCAGTCGGAGCTACCCTCATCTGGTCTGTGCCCCTCCAGCTCAGCCAGCAGTCACGCTGCCCTGACTTCTTCCTCTTCCTCTGCCGCCTGCTTAGCCCACTGCTCCAGGCCTTTGCACAGGCTGCCACCTTTCTCCACCAGGGACAGCTGCCAGATACAGGTAAGGCCCATGCTTCCCTGGCCAGCCATAGGGGGATGCTGAGCGCTCTCAGGGCAGGGGCCCCAGGCCTACCTCTTCTCTCTCCCACAGAGTCTGGCTACACTGAGCAGCTCTTGCAATTCTTGCAAGCCACTGCCCAGGAAGAAGGGTTCTTTGGTGAGTCCCAGGCAGCCAGCCCAGGCTCCCCAGAGGCAGGGAAGGGTTTGCTGGTGGCTGCTGCCCCCTGCTGGGCAGTAACCTTGCAACTCTAGGAAGGAGGGTTGTAGAAAAGAGGGTCTTTGCAACTAGTCCAAGCCCTGGCTAGACTTGGTTAGTTTCCTCTTTCGGCACAAGAGAAACCTGGGTCTTATAGCCTTCACTTCTCTCTTCCTTCCAGAGTGTGCAGACCCAAATCTTGCCATCAGTGCTGTCTGGACCTTCAGAGACCTGGGGGTAAGAGGAGCCAGTTTCACCATCCTCCTGCCTCCACCCCTATAACCCAACAGGGCTGCCCAGAGAAGCCTAACTGTGCCCACCCTGGTGTTTACCTAGTATCTTGAATAGGCATGGTGGGTGGAGTAGTTGAAGGTAGGATGGTTTTCCTGGTCCTTTTTGTCTCCTAAACTCGAGAATAGGATGAGACAGTGGTTTAAGAGGCAGCACTTGCATGCAAGGCCCAAGGGGCCCAAGGTCTCCCTTGCAGTTTGCTGGGGCACAGGCACAGCCTCCAGGGAGAGCACTCACAGCCCTTCCCTGTGGCCTAGGTGCTACAGCAGACGCCCAGCCCCGCAGGCCCCATGCTCTACCTGTCCCCTACATTCACCAGTCGGGAAAATCAGGAAAAGCTGGAACAGTTCATCCGACAGTTCATCTGTAGCTAGAACTGTGGGGTGACTTCTCAGCCCGAGAATACAGCTGTGTCCTGGAGTCAGAAGACCGAGGGGGCTGCACACCCTTACCTGAACTATAAAATAGTTTGTGCTTCATTGTCCCTTGCTGTCTCTTGTATTTTCCATCCTTTGGTGTGTTAAACAAGGGGACTGGACAAGTCTTTTCCCAAGCTCAGAAGTGTCTTTTTTGGGGTATGTTTTCCCCTTCCCCACCTTGTGAGAAGGCCCTGTCTTGGTCCCTAAAAAGGAAACCCTAAAAGAAGAACTATAGCAAAAGTCAAGCTGGCTGTTTTGGCTGAGAATTTTATTGATGAGGAGAGCAAGCTTCCTCTCCTCTCATTCTACCTGGAAGAGGCTGCTGGCACTGGGAGAGAATGGATGTCCCACCTCTTAAGTCCCAGGCCTGTGTGGAGAGCCCTCACACCACCTTGTTGATGATGATGCCTAGTTCTTCAATTTCACACCGGACTTCATCACCCTTCTGTAAAACAGAAGGTCAGGAGGCCATCAGTCCTTTGGCCTGGATTTTATAAGCCCAGCAGGAATTCTGGGTATTTGTTCCCTTTCCACCTTTTAGTTAACCTACCTTGAGAAAGACTGGAGGTTTCCTGAAGACACCAACACCTGGGGGGGTCCCAGTCAGGATGACATCCCCTGGGTAAAGAGTAACGAACCTGGGGCAGAAGAGACAGCTGAGACCATGGGCCGAGGGGGCCAGAACTGGGGCTGGAAGGCTCAGCTCAGCCTCAGGTGGGTAGTGGGAAGTAAGGCCCCATCCCACTTACTGGGAGATCCAGGCTATCAGCTCTTCCGTCTTAAACACCATCTGGTTGGTATTGCTGCTCTGGACCACCTCCCCGTTCACACGGCAGCAGATCTTTAAGTTGTGTGGATCTGAAAAATGTAAAAGCACCACCTTGGGGTTGTTTTCCCGTGAACCCCTCCCTTTACTGAGAAACCAAAGGCACAGGGTGGCTTTGTAACCACAGTGAAAGGTCTCACTGGACGTGCTCCTGGCACTTCATGCCCACCCAGCACTCCCTACCCTGGAACTTTCCATATGGATGCTGGCCACCTCAGGTCTCCCTGCACCTACCATCTAGCAGAGCATCTGCCTGTGGTCACTGGGGTGAGTTAAGGAGGGAATGTCCCAGACCCTCCTCTACCCAGAGCAGAGGCTGGCCACTGCAGATATGGAAATGACTGGGTATCTGTACTGCAAGAGGGTAATGACCCAGACGGGCACGGCGCCTCCTGCACCTGACAGCAGGGGACAGCTTACCTGTAACAGTGTCTTGGTTAATGAGCACCTTCAACTTTTTTGCTTTATACACTCACATCCCCCCTCAGAACAGCTGGAACACAATTTCACATCACTGTGTCTGCACAGGGGGTGTAAAGCTGGGGTGCATGGGCACACCCCCACCCAAATGGTTGTGCACTGCCCTCTTTGTGACGGGCCTTCCTCTGGGCTCACCTTGCCCTTGCTGCTTAGAACGGGTGCTGCCCTGCAGCTGTGCAGGTGCTCTCCCTCTCCCCCACTGGGGAAAGGCACAGGCTTTTGATAGCCAAATTCTGCTGCTTTCTGACTTAAAGACTCTCACGGATAGTGGCAGCTAGAGGAAGTTCTCCCACCTCCGCAGTAAGGGATGTGGAAGGAGGCCTGTGGAACTTGTGGCCTAGGTTGAAACTTGTTCTCTAAGGAATCAGAAAAAGGCAAGTCCACATTCCAATTTCCTGAGTATGGCTTTTTGTTTACTCTCATGTGTGCATGCAAGAGCAGGAAGAGTCACCATGTGGGCTATCCAAGACCTACCTGCTATACTGTCCTTGGTCACCAAGGCAGGGCCCAGGGGGCAGAAGGTGTCAAAGGTTTTTCCCAGCAGCCACTGCTTTCCATTGCGTCTCATTTGCCAGTCACGAGCACTTACATCATGAGCCACAGTGAAGCCGGCCACATGAGCCATGGCATCTGTGGCCTTTAGGGGACAGGGGATTTGGCCAGATTGGAAATTAGATCAACACAGTGACACCAACCCTCATAACCAAGACTTTATCCCATGTTAGTCACCAGAACTAGCCAAAGATGGGCAAAGAGTAAGGCAGGGAGCAGGTAGTAGCCAACCATTTCCCAATGCCAGAGACAGATGGCACCTCTTCCACCTTACCTTGATGCGCTTGCCTTTCTTTCCAATGACTACGGCCAGCTCTACCTCCCAGTCCACCTCCTGTAGAGAAAGCAGTGAACTGCCTGGTTCTGGGGCCTAATGCCATGCTGAGGGGCTGCACACCGTGCTTTAGGGCCTAGGTCTCTAACGGTGGGGCTTGGCTGTGGGCGCACAATTGTAATCACTATGAACTACATGTAGTAAATGAGGGGAGAGGTGTGGCTTATAGACCCATAAACGTGGACAGTGGCAGGCAGCACCACTGTGTGTAGGCACAGCTCCCCACTATGGGGAGCGCCTGGTGGGCTCAGCTGGTATAGCATGTGACTTGATCTTGGGGCTGTGAGTTCAAGCCCCACAGTGGGTGTAGAAATTATAGGTAAATTTTTTAAGAAAGACAACGGGAGACTGGGCACTGAATTTACAAGTCACTCGATACTTTCAAAAAAGAATGAATATCGAGTACTAACAGCTAATCCTACTGTGTGCCAGTAGCATCCTAAGTACTTTTAGGTATTAACTCACTTAAAAGAAATGGGCACAGCCACAGAAAAAGGAAAACATGTGCAGCCTTTCCCATAATCAGCAAAATACAACTATAAGATAAAACTTGGCCTTTCAAACTGTGTGCTCTTTCTAATGGTAACAACCAGAGTTGTTCTGAGCACAGTTGACACCTAATCTTGGTCTCCAGCATTGCTACCCACTAGACAGAACTGGGTTCCTTAGGGGAAATGGCTAATTCCAGGTCTGAGACAGTACAAGATGAGCCTGGAATATCTTGGTCAGAAAATAAGGATTCAAAAAGTGACAGGGCCGGGGCCAACTTGAAGCCAACCACTGGCTAAACTGAGACCATTTGGCTATCAAAAAGAATGTAAATGATGGTCTACAACATATTGGATAAAAATGAAAAACAAATACGCAGTGCTACTAAAGGGACAGGAGTTTAAAAAAAAAAAAAGAGGAAGCTTTTCTTAACAGAATGGTAGCCTAATAGGAGCAGAAGAAAGCATGATAGAAAAATTGCCTTTTTCTAACTCCCAATACAGTGATGGATTCAGGTGAGGATCCCTGGATGAAAAGCTGTGGCACAATAAGATAGTCACAAGGTCTCAAATTCCTCCCCTGTAGACTGCTTATTAATTACCAATGAAATGTACCTTTCCGATGAGATCTAGTGAACATTAAGTAAACCAAGTGATCAAACTTTAGCACCATCTGATAAGCCTCCCAATGGAGTGCAATGTATATCTGTTCCTTCAGACTGAATGTGCCCCTCAACCCTGAATTTCATATGTTGAAACCTAACTCCCAATGTGATAATATCAGGAGGTAGAGCCTTTGGGAAGTAACTAGGTCATGAAAGCAAAGCTCTCATGAATAGGGGTAGTGTCTTTATGAAAGAGATCCCAGAGAGTGCCCTTGCCCCTTCTGTCATGTGAGAAAACAGCAAAGACAGTCGTCTGTGAACTAGGAAGTGGCTCTCCCCAAGCACCAAATGTATCAGCACCTTGATTCTGGACTTCCCCACCTCCAGTACTATGAGAAATAAAGTTCTGTGGTTTATGAGCCACCCAGTCTGTGGTATTTTGTTACAGCAGTCCAAATCATCTAACATGTATGTAGAATCCTTGACAAAAATGTTTAACTCAAATCTAAACACGAGGAAACAGAGTGTGGGATATGCTAAGGCAACTTGCCAGGATTCTTCCAAAAGTCAGCATCATGAAAGACAGAAAAGGGCAGGGGGATTGTCTGATATCAGAAGTCAATAAACTATGGCCCATGGGCCAGATCCAGCTTGCTGGCTGATTTTATAAATAGCTTTCCTAGAACACAGTCATATTCACTCATTTATATATCTGCCACGGCTGCTTTCACTCAACAGGGGCAAAGACGACTTGTTGGAACAGACTCCGTGGCCTTCAGAGTCTGTTATTTACTGACTGACCCTTTGAGAAAGTCTGCAGATCCCCGTTCTAGAATAAAGACACTAAAGAGCCATAACCAAGTACACTGTGTGGCCTTGACTGATCCTGGTTCAACAAATTAAAAGTAAAACAGAATCCAAATTATCATCTTTGGGGGCAACTGGGTATACTTCCAATTGGACTATATATAAGGTATTATTCCTGTTAATTTCGTTAGTGGTGATAGTGGTTATTATGGTCATGTAGGACATTGTATTTACTCCTAGAAGATGCATCCTGAATTTTATTATTTTTCTACAATTAAAGTGTATTATTTTTGCAATCGGTAAAAAATATGTTAACTTTTTTTTTCCCCCGAGTCCAGCCTTACACAGTATAACCCCCTGTAGTTTCTGCTGAACGCACTACTAAGCAACAGGTAGCTCCTTTAGGCTGGCTGCTGAGTGCTGAGCACCCCAGTGATGGGCCGGTGACTGGGGGCCTATGAGGAGGCACTGACCTGGCTCTCTGGCGGGAGGATGACCTCGTCGTAGGGCCCCACAATGGAGCTGGCAAACTTGCTGAAGATGATGGGCTCCTTCGGCACTGGAATGTTCTGCTCTTTGCAGTGGTCCACATAATTCATTCCCACACACACCACCTTGTCTGGCCGTGTGACTGGGGCCAGGAAGGTCACCTCTGACCGTGGTAAGACTGGCAACTGGGCAGTCAGGGCTCTGCAGAGATCAGAGCAGGAGAGAGAGACTGGTTAGGAGCAGGCCGCAACCACTGGGCATGCTGGGGAGGCACTGCAGCAGCTACAAGTTATGCTTTATCAAATGTATTTTCTAGATCTATCAACCATCACAATCAGTGTGGAAACCAAACCCAGGTATTACCCTTTGATATTAGAGTGCTGTTTATTTTTTATCCAGTGTTGATTTCCTTTCCCCCATTAGGTAATACATGTCATGTAAGGGAATTCAAAAGGTGCACATGAGAAAACTGGGAAGGCCTCTCTTCTGCCCCTTCTTCACCCTCGGGCACAGCTACCGTGGCCCGTGTAGCTCTTCACATCCTCTTCTCCTCCTGTCCTTTCTTACGCAAATGACTGCACACTGAATACACCTTTTAGAAAAAATATGTACTTTTTGGGAGATCTCTCCATAACAGCATATACCTTTCCCCTTTTTTGATAGGACTGTGTATACCTGCACAGTACAGGTAGACCCAATTACCCGATGAGGGCATGGAAGTAGTTTCCAATCTTGTGAGACTATGACAGTATTAGAAACATACTGTTTTGGTGTTTTGTTTTGTTTTTTTAAGATTTTATTTGTTTATTTGACAGATCACAAGTAGGCAGAGAGGCAGGCAAGACAGAGGAGGAAGCAGGCTCTCTGCTGGGTAGAGAGCCTGATGTGGGGCTTGATCCCAGGACCCTGGAATCATGACCTGAGCCGAAGGCAGAGGCTTAACCCACTGAGCCACCCAGGTGCCCTGGTTTTTGGGTTTTTTAAAAGATTTTATTTGTTTGACAGAAAGAGAGACAGTGAGAGAGGGAACACAAGCAGGGGGAGTGGAAAAGAGAGAAGCAGGCCGACGCGGAGCTTGATCCCAGGACTCCGGATCATGACCTGAGGCGAAGGCAGATGCTCAATGACTGAGTCACCCAGGCGCCCCTGGAAATATACTATTACCAATACTGTGAGCTGTCAAACACTTGCATTTTTGCCAGTTTAATACATTTACTGTTCATCAGATTTCAAATGGCTCCTGACTTCAGGTAAGTCCCTACCTTATCTAGCCCAAACCCAAGGACCATCTCTAAGAACACCTTTTTACAGTTCTCTCTCTTCTAAGGAGCTAAGCGTCCAAAGACTCCCTCCAGGCTTCCCAAGATGTCTCCTAGGATCCCAGATCCCAGACTTCTTAGGCAGACAAAAACTTAATCCCTGGGGAAGGCAGGGTGATGAAGCAGAGTACTGGCTCCACCACTGAATGTATGGCCTTGAAACAGTTAATCACCATCCCTGGGCCGGAGAGTGTTGTCATACAAGATTTCTAAGGCTCTCCACTAAGAGAAGAGGTGAGAAAGGAAAGGTAGAGTCACCCTGCTCACCTCTGAAAGAGCTACCAGCTGGTTCTGTTTCCCAGGGCAGGGATGGGGGTGGGAAGAGGGAGGGGGTAGCAGGGCAGCCATTGTAGCTGCCTGCTGATTTACCTTCTTGCCACTGAGAGAGTGGCCTCTCCCTGCTCTAGGAACTCCATCATCGTCTTGGGCAGTGTGGGGTCAAAGGTGTTGAGGTTGATGACGCCCCCACCATTCCCTGACTCCAAGCCCAGGTGAGGTCCTGTCAGGTGGGGTGCCTGGAACTGCACCAGTCTCATATTTCTGGAGGGTTGAAAGGGCCACTTCTGAGCGTGCAGCAAAGTTGTGAGCAACCTTCTACAGGAGACCAGCATCAGAACCTATGTAGAAAAACGTGGGTCCTAGGAGACAGAAGGAACCGAAACCACCATCAGGATCCACAGAATTCCCCAAGCTGCAGCCCAAGCCCTCTCACCCCATCAGCCATCCCTGCCACAGCACAGTCCTGGAAGTGGTCCACATTTATTAGTTATTTCACCCTGTTATACTTTATCAGGTGATTGTTTTGTTCAATTCAACGCATGTAATGAAACATTTCTAAAGGAGTGAGTACCTCATGCCAGGCACGAGTCTAGATGGCAGGGGTTCTGGCATTCCTTGAACCGGTGCTTCCTGCAGGCTTATGCTGAACCTGCCACCACCGAGGCACTGGGCACACTATAGGTCAGACACGCGCAGGCCTGCCATCCTGCTCTCAGGGGAGATGGATATTAACAACTGACGTCATAAGTAAGATCCAGCGATTGGGACTACTAATGTGAAGATAAAGGGTCCTGCCTTTAACTAGTTTCTTGAGGAAGTGATGCTGAGCTGAGCTGAGCTGGGCTGGGCTAAAATAAGCAGGACTAGAAGTTAGCTAAGAGTGGGGCCCTGCATGGAGAAGTGACCACTGGTAAAACTGGCTTCACAGCAGTTATAGGCAATTTTTTAAAATACCAATTTGATCCTATTATCCTTCTATTGAAATGCTTCCCACTGCTCACATTACTAAGCCAAAACCCCTACGGGGCTATTGTAGTCTTCTAGAAGTAGCCCCCACAAACATCTCCAGACAGTAATTATCTCGTTTCTCCTGCTGCAGTTCAGACTACCTGAGGAAAGAGGCTGCAGACAAAGGGCATGGTCTCAGCTTGGCAGACTTCACTGGGCTGTCTCCTCTCTGGGTTTCAGGACTGCATCTTTCTCTTTCACTGCTGAGTCCACAGTGCCAAGCACTATGCTGGGCACACAGGAGGCTCTACACTACACTCTATTGAATCAACCAATGCCAGGAGCCGCAGCTTGACTTTTCACTACTTGGGAAAGCTTGGTGATTGCCAACATGGCTATGTCTTTCCTCCTCAAATCGCTTAGAAGATATCAACAGGGCTCAGGTCCTGTTCTGAGCTCCAGGCTTTACTCAAAGACAAACCCCATTCTCTTGTTTTGTTTCTAATCTAAGCCTGGCCTTCATTCCAAACAGTCCCTGCCCTGCATGGGTCCTTGCTTTAAAAAGTGCCCCTTTATGCTCAGGCACATGGAGGTAGTCCCAGATTCCTGGTCCTCATTCGATTTGCCATGTTCAGTTAAAGACTCATTAGACCCAGGTCACTGATCTGACCACTGCAGCAGCCAAGTTCGGCCAGACAATCAGCTTTGAAACTTCCGCCCTCCCATCTTACACAATGATGCTGTCAAAAAGCTATTCAAGTCAAAATGCACGCACTCAGACGCTCCACACACTGAAAAAATAATTACAGCTCCCACTGAATGCCAGGTTTTATTTTAAGAGCTTTGCCTACAATGTCTGATTCAATTCTCTTGACAATTGTGGAAAGTAGCTACATTAGTTCCATTTTACAGTGGGGGGAAAAAAAAGGCTCAGAAAGATGAAGGGTTTTGCCCAAGTTCCCAAGGAGAGAAAATAGCTGGGACTTGAATCCAAGTCCAGGTGACACTGAAATTCTTGGCTTGGGCTAAAGTGTCCTAGAGGTGGTGGGGGTTGGATTTCCAATAGGGTATGTCCTAGAGGTCTGCTGTCAGCCAGGGAAAACGTGGTCACATCCTGGCTGCTGCTTCAGGGATAAGGCTGGTCACATGCTTTCCAAGATAACTCCAGGCCCCATGGACTATGCCCTTTCCACATGACAGATACATTCCGGTTCTCATGCTGCCCTACAGCAATATCCTCAGGTACAACGTCCCATTTTACAGAAACGGGTAATGAGGCTTAAAGAAATCATCTGCCAAAGTACCAGTTAGAAAGTGGCCCTGGTGCTTCTGTGGTAATCAGGACGCAATAAGAGTATGAGCTCAATTCAACTCCTGGAAAAATGTCCTGAAGCGAAGAGGCTGGGATTCAAGGTGGAAACAGCACAAGCATCGCAGACTGAGAGGCTTGGGATCGTGTCCCACTATCCACTTGCTTGGCACCCTACACCAGTCCCCCAGCTTTGTCTCCTGCACTCTGTGGGCGCTCACGAGTACCCACCCCTCCGGGTCCCCGTGGTCGCTGCGGTCGGGGATCCGGTCCAGTCCTGACCTCAGCGGAAGACCTGCAGGGAGGCTGAGACCGGGCCCGGCCCGGCCCACAACCTCAACGTACCTGGCCGCCGCGGCCGGTCTTGCCGGGTCTGTGCTGTCCAGCTCGGGTTCACCGACTTGGGGGCCAAGGTCAACAGGCGTCTAGACACCTGCACCACGTTCTATGAGCCACGACTCGCCCGGGGATCAGCTGCAGTAGCGCGCCCAGCTGCTCCACTAGGACTTTCGCTCAGCCGGGCGCTCCTTGCTGACGCCAGAGAGCAGCAGCCAATAGAAGGGCGCCTCATTCTGTCCCGGAAGCCAGGTCACGGAGGGGACGGGCCTAGTGCCGGAGGGCAGGTGGCTTCTCTCGGGTTCCTTCAGGCGTCTTCTTGGCGGACGCAGGTGAGGCCAGCCGTCGCCCGAGACCAAATTCCCGGACACTCATAGTCTGGACTCCCTGCACCTGCATGAATCTGACAGCAAGTGCTTCCTGCAAATCTGTGCTCTGGGCGCCTTGCTAGCCTCACCTACGTGGGGCCCTGCTTGGGGCCACATGCTGTTTTGATTGTTGGGAAAAGGTGGTGGAGGAGGCCAAATTATGGCGTTCCTGGTTCGCAACGACGAGTATTTTTGTCTTCTGATTCTGATAAATCACTGAGAAGGGAAGGAATGATTGCACCCATTTTATATATGGGAACCCGAGGCAGAAGTGTTTTGCTCAAGGTGACACAAAGAGTGTGAATAGTGGAACCAGCATTCTTGACCCCCAAGTGCAACCCTTTACTCCCATTCTCATCAGCCTTGTCTTCACATGCACTGTTTTGGGCCTAGGGCAGGATAGTGGGAAGCCTCCAGCATCAAAGAACAGGCATTCTCGTGCATAGGTGGTTTTATTAAACAGGCAGTAACAATCCACTAGGATTGTAGGCCCCTGGGACATGGAGACATGTAAAGGGCTCTGGGCAAGATGCCCAAGACTTAACCATAAACCAGATCATCCAGGGCTTTATTTGTCCCAAGAAAGAGTCTGGCCTTTTCTAAGCACACAGGAGACCTCACAAGGGGTGTGCCATGGTTAGACTTGCATTTGAGAAGTTCTGCCCTAGCCACTCCTACAAGGCAAAGTGTCTGGATAAGAGTGGTGCAGGTGAGGGCAATGGTGTAGGTGGCTTGGTGTGTGGCTAAACATCCAGAGATGTTTAGAAGGTAGAACTGACAGCCCTCAATGATGATGACAGGAGGTGGAAGTGAAAGGAGGTCCAAGGCCAACTCCTACATCTCTGGCCAGTAAAGGGCACTGCCATTCATGAAGACAAGGGTTCTAGAGGAACATCAGGTCTGGGGAGAGGATGGTAAGCTCAGTTTTCGATGGGTTGTATTTAATGTCGCTGTGATACATTCAAGGAGGCACTGCAGGGTGGGCGGTTGGAGACACAGGTCTTGGAACTTAGGGAATTAGCTTGCAGGTAGAGGTCAGCATACAGACAGAAATGGAACTTGTGAGGGTAAGTATGATCAGGAGGGATGTGGTAAAGAGAGCTTGGCACAAACCCTAGTCAGGAGACCCATCATGCAAGGATCAGCCAGAAAGACTGAAGGGAAACAGGGAGACAGGGGAACACATAATTTAGGCAGAGATTTGGAACTGCACTTTCCAAATTCCAAGGAGAGGACTTCTGTTCTTGGACAAGAATAAAACAGGTGATGTTTTTAAAGACCATGATCAAAAAAATAATAAGAGGATACTATAAACAAATCTACACACATAAATTTGACAACTTCAATGAAATGAACCAATTCCTTTAAACAGAGCCTAAAACGTTTCACCCAAAATGAAATAGGTAATTTGGATAGTACTGTATCTATTAAGGAAATTGAATTTGTAAGTTAAAAACTCCTGAAAACCAGTCCCAGATGTTTTCACTGGAACAATTCTACCAAATGTTTAAAGAATGAACACCAATTCTACCTAATCTATTTCAGAAAATAGAATAGGAAGGAACATGTCTCAATTCATTTTATGAAGCTAGTATTACCCTGGTATCAGAAAACAAAAGACAGCACAAAAAAGGAAACTACAAACCAGTAATTCCCATAAATACAGATGTAAAAGTCCTTAACAGAATATTAGCAAATGTAATTCAGAAATACATAAAGAGAATTCTCTACCATAACCAAACAGGGTTTTTTCCAGGAGTGCAAGGCGTGTTCAATATCCAAAAATTACTCACTATAATCCACCATATTAATAAGCTAAAGAAAAAAATCACAAAGTCATATTAATTAATTTATTTAAAATGTGACAAAATTCAACACCCATTCATGACAAATACTCTCAGAGAACTCAGAAGGGAACGTCTTCAACTTGATAAAGAACATCTAACAGAAAGCCTACAGTTAATGTCATAGTTAATGGTGAAAAACTGAATGCTTTCCCCCTGGAATTGGGAACAAAGAATGCTTGTTCCTAACTTGTTTTTTTAAAGAATTGATTGATTGATTGCACAAGTTGGGAAAGGGGCAGAGGGAGAGAGGGAAACTCAAGCATATTCCCTGCTGAGTACAGAGGCTGATTCCGGTCTTGATTTCCTGACCTGAGCCGAAATCAAAAGTAAGACACTTGGGGCACCTGGGTGGCTCAGTGAGTTAAAGCCTCTGCCTTCGGCTCAGGTTATGATCTCAGGGTCCTGGGATCGAGCCCCGCATCAGGCTCTCTGCCCGGCAGGGAGCCTGCTTCCTCCTCTCTCTGCCTGCCTCTCTGCCTACTTGTGATCTCCGTCTGTCAAATAAATAAATAAAATATTTATTTAAAAAAAAAAAGTAAGACACTTAACCGACTGAGCCACCCAGGCACTCTGCTACCACTCTTAATCATCATAGTACTGGAAATTCTAGCTAGTGCAATAAAGCAATGAAAGGAAATAAAAGCATATAGATTGGAAAGGAAGAAATAAAACTATACCTTACTTGCAGATGAAATAGGTTTCTTCACAGAAAATCCATAGGAGGGAGCCTGGTGATGGGTATTATGGAGGGCACGTATTGCATGGAGCACTGGGTGTGGTGCATAAACAATGAATTCTGGAACACTGGAAACACTGGAAAATAAATAAAATAAAGTGGAAAAAAAAAAGAAAATGAGGTTAAAAAAAGAAAAAAAGAAATACAGATCTTTGCATCACAATATTTTTTAAAAGATTTTATTTATTTATTTGACAGAGAGAGAGGGATCACAAGTAGGCAGAGAGGCAGGCAGAGAGAGGGGGAAGCAGGCTCCCCGCTGAGCAGAGAGCCTGATGCAGGGCTCGATCCCAGGACCCTGAGATCATGACCTGAGCCAAAGGCAGAGGCTTAACCCACTGAGCTGCCCAGCCGCCCTTTTGCATCACAATATTAAAAAGAAAAGAAAAGAAAAGAAAATCCATAAGAGGGAAAACCTCTTGGGAATAATAAATGAATTCACCAAGGTCACAGAGTACAAGATCAACATAGAAAAATCAACTGTATTTCTATATACTAGCAATGAAAATGTGCATCCTGAAATTTAAAATATAATACTATTTCCTCAAATAAAAAGAAATACTTAGGTGCAAATCTAACAAAACATGTGCGGGACCTGTATGCTAAAAACTATAAAACACTGATAAAAGAAATCAGACATCAAAATAAATAATGAGACATACCATGTTCATAGATTGGAAGACTTAGTGATGATGTTAATTCTCCACAAACTAATATACAGGTTTAACACAATTCCTAGCAATATCCCATCAAGAATTTTTATACATACAGACAAGACTATTCTAAAATTTGCATTGAAAGGCAAAGGAACTAGAATAGCTAAAACAATTTTTTAAAAGAATAAAGTGAAAATAATTGGCTAACCTGATTTCAAGACTTATTATGTAGTTACCATAATCAAGATCCTGTGGTATTGGCAGAGGAATGGACAGATCAATGGAACAGAAAAGAGAAGCCAGAAGTGAACCCACAGAAATATGCCCAGCTGGCATTTGAGAAAGATACAAAAGCAATTCAGTGGAGGAAGGATAGTCCTTTCAACAAATGGTACTGGAGCAATTGGACAGACATCTCTTTAAAAATGAACCTTGACCTCAACTTCATAGCTTATACAAAACTTAACTCAAAATGGATCACAGATTTAGATTTAAATTTAAAATGTAAAATTATCAGGATTTTAGAAGAAAATATAGGAGAAAATCTTTGAGACATATGGTTTAGTGACTTAGTGAAAGGTTCTTAGACATTACCCCAAAAAGCATAACACAGGGAGAAAAAGCAAAACAAGTAGAGGACTTCCTCATAAGTAAAAACTTTTGCTCTGCAAAAGGATGTTATGAGGATGAAAGAACAAACTACAGACAGGGAGAAAATATTTGCAAATTACATAGCTGACAAAGAACTCGTATCTAGGATATACAAAAAATCCACAGCATAGAGACTTGTTGCATCACTATGTTGTATACCTGAAACTAATGTAAAATAGTGCCAACAACACTTCAGTTAAAAAAAAAAAAAGACACAGACTTGTATCCCTGGAACAAATAATACATTATATGTTAATTTAAAAAAAGAAAGAGGGGCGCCTGGGTGGCTCACTGGGTTAAAGCCCCTGCCTTCAGCTCAGGTCACGATCCCAGGGTCCTGGGATCAAGCCCTGCATCGGGCTCTCTGCTCAGCAGCGAGCCTGCTTCCTCCTCTCTCTCTCTCTGCCTGCTTCTCTGCCTACTTGTGATCTCTGTCTGTCAAATAAATAAAATCTTTTAAAAAAGAAAGAAAGGAAGGAAGGAAGGAAGGAAGAAAGAAAGAAAGAAAGAAAGAAAGAAAGAAAGAAAGAAAGAAAACCCCTGAAAAATCAACAGAGGAAAAAAACCAATCTAATTAGAAAATGGATAAATGACATGAAGAGACGCTTTACTGAAGAAACTATACAGATGGCAGATGGATATGATCACATGAAAAGATGTTCAACATATCTATAGAGATTAGGGGGATGCAGATTAAGACCACAATGAGATATTACTGCATTATTAGAACAGTTAAAAAAAACAAACAGCGGCAATACCAGATGCTGGAGAGGATGCAGACAACTGGATCTCACATGTTTCTGATGGGAATGTCCAATGCATTAGCCACTCTAGAAAACAGTTTGGCTGTTTCTTAAAAAACTAAACATGCATTTACCATATGGCCCAGAAACTGTAATCCTGGGCATTTATCCCAGAGGAA